TTCACTTGCACAAAAATTCTAGGTTTTCGTAGTCCCAATCATAAATTGAGCAAGTTAGTTGGTTTTCAATTGGTTCCCGGTTCCTGTTCACTTCTTAAGTGGTTTTCAATTATTCTGGTTTTCACTTCTTAAGTGGTTTTCAATTATTCTGGTTTCGATTGGGTTCAATTAATAGCCAATTAACATTCCTCTATAAAAAGGTGATAAATCACATAGACGATCTTTGTAATTTAGTCATCTACCGTAAAGAGGACAAAGCAAGCTCTTTTGATATTTGTCACTTTCATTTTCGAGATAAAATAGATTTTGGACGTCTTAGACAAATTGCTGGAAAGAAGGTTTTTGGTATTGATACATATATCAACAACTTTTAACCCAATGGCCTATGAATCTCATCCACTCATATTTTATATTTCTAGCCAATTTTGATATATAAAAAAAGTCAAATTGAAGTAATTAATGTTCAATGATGAATTGTGATTGATCAAGATATGTCGTTATGCATGAACAATCACGAAGGAAACTGCCATTACATTATTCATGAAAAGAGAAAAAAACAAAACTTGAGTGGTTTACATCAATTTTCCAAGATATGAAAACTTTAATGAGAAGAACATAGCAATTAATACTTGCACAATTTTGTTATATAAGATGATGGCTCACTTTGTGCTTGAATACGGATTAATCTATTAACCCAACTTATTTACAAGATCTTGGAGCCACTAATATCAACTTTAATCAAATTATCATCACTATTTATCAAGTAGAAATATGTCCACTGAGGTCCTGTTTGTTTTTTTGAATAAAAAATACATAAAGTCTACGGACCACATCTGCAATCCTCTGCAGTAAAAGAGGTGGATCAAACGTATGCAGACTGTAATAAGAAACGTGTTTGTTTTTTTAACATCTGTATGCTGCTGCAGATATTAAAAAATTAAAATAAACTGTTTTTATAATTCAAAAATAGTTTTTTAATACCGAAATTTAATAATGTATGATATTTCGGTAAGAATTTATGATATTTCAGTAAAAAATAATGATATTTAACAAAAAAAATATAAAGATATTTTAGCATAAAATAATGATATTTCATCAACCAAGTATTATTATTCAATATAAAAAATATCACCAAGAATAAACAAAAAAATGTGAAATAGATTTCAACAATATATAATCAATATTTTGGTAAGAAAAAAAAATAAGAAGAGGTTAGAAGAGGTATAAAGAGACAAAACAAGTGTTGTGCCAAGAAGAACACTCGCATATGTTTTTTAATCCAAAAACTTTTGAAAAACAAATAGCTACGAGATGAAAAGTGTTGTGCGTGTGCTGTGTCACGCAGCAATAAGATCTTAATAGGTTTTTTTTCAAAAAAACAAACAGCACCTAAGTGAAAAAGAGATGTACCACAAGATAAAAGGTAACAATAATAATAAATCGTTTGTAAATCAACGTTTATGAGTCTATGTGACTCAATTAGTAAAAATAAAAAAGTAACTTCTAAGTTTGGATATATGAATTATATATTTGATTATACACCTAAAAGACATGTCATTCAATACTGATTTTGAAAACATTTTTAATTATAAATAATAATCCGATATATGTTGCTTTTATAGTTTTACATATAGTTCCCAAACCCATTCAACTCATTTCTACATCAGTTTTTTTTTCTTTTTTTTTTCTTCATCTTTCTCATCCTACAATACATAAAAATCTTATCTTTTTCAATCTACTCAAGCCACTCAATTAAAAAAAATACAAAAAAATTAAAATATAAGTCTTAAAACACGTGGTATAAGAGAAAATGAGATAGAGGTAATGAAGCGGGTTAGTGAAACCAATTAAACAACCAACACTCCCAATCCTCCCAACCCACTAAAGAGAGTGTGGTATCTTGGAGGTACCAACGGTAGCTCTATTGCTAATTAAGACTTGTACCTTAATTTTTTTTTTTTTTTTTTGTATTTTGTTAATTGATTTGGTTAGGCGGGTTCAAAAATATAGGATTTCTATGTGTTGTGGGTTGGAAGAGAATAACTCTCTCCTTTCTTATGGTTATGCAGAATGTTAAAATGACATATATGATATGTTCGACGACATGCATCTGAGAGTTTTAGTATTTGGTTTTTATAAAAAAAATTATAAATAAATAAAATTAGAAAAAACTCGAATAAAAGAAAATGTTTTGTTCATGGGTACAAGGTTAAAAGGTTTATTTCAAATAAAAACTTTTAACATAAAAAGTACTTCAACTAACTTTTTCGAAGGGATGATAATATATTATTTGATTGGTACATATTTTATCATTGAGTTTTTTTTCGTTTATATTTATCCTCTTCAACTTGTTAAATTGTACACATTCAGTCCTTATGACTGGCTACTTCAAGTTAGCTGGTAAAAATGACTTAATAATGTAATATATTTCTCACTGTGTACACATTTAATCCTTAATATTTTTATACACATTTAGTCCTTAGTATTTTTTTATTGCAAAATAAGTCATTTTTGTTTTTTATACTCATTCATTACTTATGAATGATTTCTTTAGATTTTTCCCACGACATCTTACGTGGAACAATCATTAATGAGGTGTTTGGGACTTTTAATGTTGATGTTCATCGCGATCTTGACTACTTGGTTGCTTAGGTCATGTGTTAATAATGTCATAACTTCTTCATATGATCTCGGATTTTAATGATCTTTATATTAATGCGTTTATATTTTAGTCTACTATAACTTTTGTTTAAATTACTCCCGTTAAAAAATAATATATTTTTACTTACAATCTTTATATACATATGTTTTTTTATGAATGCATATATGGATGCTTTTTTTAAATAAAATTGTAAGTGAAAATATATTACATTTTAACGAGGGTAATCTTAACGAAAGTTATGGTAGACTCAAAAACCGAACATGTGGATATAAAGATCGTTAAAATCTAATATCTAATGAAGAAGTTACAACGTTCAGAACATAAGACTTAAGTCAAACCACAAGACCTACATAACCAAACAATCGAGATCATGATGAACATAAACATTAAGAACCTCAAACATCTCATCAATGATTGTCCGCGTAAAATATTGTGAGAAAAACCTAAAGAAATCATTCATAAGTACTGAATGAGTGTAAAAACAAAAGACTTATTTTGAAACAAAAAAATATATATTAAGAACTAAATGTGTACAAAAATATTGAGGAGTAAATGTGTACAAAATGAAAAATATATTATCTATTAAACATTTTTCTCGGCTAACCTGGAGTAACCGATCATAAGGACTGAATGTGTACGGTTTAACAAGTTGAAGGGCTAAATATGTACGAAAAAAAACTCAATGATCAAATATGTATAAATTAAAAAATATATTACTCTTTTAAGTCATTATCTCCTTTTTGGAATTTTTATATTTTATGTCATTTACATCTTTCAAAAGCATTACATTTACATTGGTTGATTATTTTTATACAGATAAAAATAAAGCTTCGAGCTTCTAACTATTTGTCAAACATACTAAATTGCATCATATTAAATATTGAAAATGTTAAAAGTGACCAAAGAACTATCCTTTTTGTCCATTGTTCACTTAATTTTGTACAACTTACTTTTCAAAATCTTTTAATTTTAACCACTCAACTTATTTTGTATGATTTCTAAAGTCGTTTTATTTTAGTCATATAAGTAGGTTAAGGTTTATAGTTGGGTAAAGGGACTAAAAAGACAATTTTGGAAAGTTTATTACCTGAAAAAATGGACACAAATAAGTTGAGACCGTTAAGTGACAGAAGAAATACATGATTTTGAAAAGTTCTTTATCGACGAAAGTAAGTTCAATGACTATAAATAAACAAATAAAATAATTCGCTAGTCATTTTAACGTTTTCCTTTGAATTTAAACTTCACTTTGGTATAAATTATCATAACAGTAAATTCAATAGTTTACTTGAAGAAATGTTATATTTACCCTTGTCAATTGGTTCATCATTCATGAAGTATCCACTCTGGCCAGGAAGGAGGATAATAATTGATGAAATTAGAATTTTCCACTCTGGCAAAGATAGAGAAAGGATATGGAGAATGCACTACATTTTGGTGGGTCTCATCCGTTATGTTGTACAAGATAAGGAGAGAAAAGTCAGCAAAAAACGCAAAAAGCAGTAAATTACAAAACCACCCTTCGACTACTCATCGACTAGTACATTGAGGCATTCGTAAAATTATTTTAAATTTAGTGTTTATAATAAAAGAGTTCATGAAGATCAAGAACCAACATTGCGATAGAATGGATGTTGTCGGTGGACAGATCTATGCTATATATAATCCGGACAACCATCCCAAATGAAATATAAAGTTTTTTGGATAATTGTTAATTGAGTAAAATTTTAATCGAGTCAGAGTCAACTTTTTATTATCAAAGGCTATATGACCGAATCAAAAGATTTTAATTGTGTTATCAAACGGTTTGACCGAGTTAGAGTCAACCTGTTACCAAACCTAGTAAAAACATATTAAACAACATTATAATATGGTAGCTCAAGTTGGTTATCTTCTTATATTTGTTAAATGAAGCTCACATATTTTAGACTTGTATTGTATTAATGTAATATATATTTTTTGAATGTTTTTAGTTGTGTTGCTGATAGTCTAAAGTGCAATAATTTACCACTCTGGACAAATTTAGTTCGTAGAGTATTTTTTTTATGTATAAATTAATTTATATGTGAATCTATAGTGACACCAAAATTAATTTTGGATCCACTGCCAATTGTTACCACGATGAATGCATAAATTGAACATTTGGTTTGATGACACTTTTATGATATTCTCTAAGATTTGAAGTCAAACAAAAAGAAGGGTTGCTATCACATAAATGTTATCAATGTACTGGGGAAGAAAATTGAAAATCAGGTTGAACAAAAAAAATCGATCCATAATTAATAACAATTACTCTTTTAAATAAATGTTTGTCCCTAAAATTTGATAAATTGTCACATGTAGTTAAGATTAGTTGAATCGTAGATATAGATAGACCGAAATTCTTTCGTATAAAAAAATAATGTTTCTAAAACAAGAATCTTTTTCTAACCTTAGTCAAATAGCCATTTGAATGTAAGGATTTGAGGACCAAACGGTAAACGAATATGCATGAAACACAGAAACCTACAAAGTTTTAAATAGTACATGGGCTATTTTTGTAGTTGTTTAATAACTAAAGAGCAAAATTCCAAGAAAGAAGGGAAAGAGAACACGAACCTGTGGCTGCAAATTGGCTATCACTACGTCTCTTCTCCTAAACCCCATTGAAGCTAACACACCTCCTACATCTCCCTTTCTTGGTGTCTTCGTGTGTTTCTAAATCAATTGAAAACCGAAGGAACCAAGATTCTGATTAGGATTAGCAGTTATTAATTTCTCCAAATCCCCTCATTTATATTACGAAAAAGATGCTCCCCTTTTCGTTCATGGCCTACAATGATTCTTGATCACATGAGTGAAGATCAAGTGAGCGATAAGGAATAAAGAGAAGATAAGATTAATTAGTGAACTCTATTATTCTTCAACAAATACCCTATAGGCCCTAGAACAGTAGAAATTCCATGGTTATGTCTACTTGAAAACCCGAATCAAGAAAACAAGATCCGAACTTTATAGTTTAACTGTTCACGATCGAAATTAGGATCTGGGCTTTTCAAGATTTGGTGTTTTGAAGGATTTGAGATGTCGAGTGGGTGTAGTATAGTGTGGTTTAGGAGAGATCTGAGGGTAGAAGACAACCCTGCTTTGACTGCAGGTGTTAGGGCAGGAAACGTGATAGCAGTGTACATATGGGCACCTGAAGAAGAAGGTCATTATTACCCTGGAAGGGTGTCGAGATGGTGGCTAAAACAGAGTTTAGCTTTATTGGATTCGTCTTTGAAAAACCTTGGTACTTCTCTTGTTACCAAGAGATCTACTGATAGCGTTTCTTCTCTTCTTGAAATTATTAAATCGACTGGTGCTACTCAGCTGTTTTTCAATCATTTATATGGTTAGTTTATTTTATTTATTTGGTTACTTTTTATGGTAGTTTTGGTGAGAATTATGGTGTTGTTCTGTCTTAACTTATCTGGAATTGGTAGATCTTTTTCCCAAAATAGAAAGGATTTTGAGATTTTGGGTATATTATTTTATGTCCTAAGTGGAATTGTTAGATTTTTTTACCCAAAAGAGTATGAATTTTGAGATCTTGTTTACATTATTGTGTCTCCGAACTTTCTGGGATTATTAGGGTTTTCCCAACAAAAAAAAAAGTAAGAATTTTGAGATCTTGTATACATTATTATGTGTCCTAACTTCTCTGGGATTGTTAGGTTTTTCCCTCAAATAAAGTATGAATATTGAGATGTTGGATGCATCATCCTTATGATTCAAGAAGTCGTAGGTAGTGTTTGCAACCGAAATCAGAGATCTTTTACTTACCTAATAATTAATTTTTTTTGCGACTAGTATCAAATTGAATTTGATTATAAACCCACTTTAAAAAATGTGGAAAACTTTAATCAACATAATTTTGTTTCTATGTGTTTTAGATCCGTTGTCTCTGGTTAGAGATCACAGAATGAAGGAGATTTTAACAAGTAATGGGATATCAGTACGTTCATTTAATGCGGATTTATTATATGAACCATGGGAAGTTCTTGATGATGAAGGTCGTCCATTCAATACATTTACACAATTTTGGGACAGGTGTCTTAGCATGCCTTATGATCCTGAATCTCCACAACTCCCACCAAAAAAGATAATCTCAGGTCACTTTTCTCATATGCCTAATCGTGTATCAACCTCTACTTAAAAGACTTAACAACAACAAAATGACTTAACACAGAAAGTCATAGAAATGAGACTTGCCCATTGAGCAACGATTTTTTACAAATTTGCCTTTGTTTATATTTCTTTACATTCCCCAAAGCATGCCATCATTTTTTTCAACTAATGAATGCAAGTAAATGACGATTTTACCCTTAACTGTTGTAAATTTCCATTTTTCCATGGTTGTTTTTCATTAGGCAATTTATCAAAGTGTTGTTCGGAAACATTAATATTCGAGGATGAATCCGAAAAAGGAAGCAATGCACTTCTAGCCCGGGCATGGTCACCGGGCTGGAGCAATGCAGATAAAGCCCTGGCGGCTTTCATCAACGGGCCACTTCTCGAATACTCCAAAAACCGTAGAAAAGCGGATAGTGCTACCACATCATTCCTATCTCCCCACCTCCATTTTGGGGAACTTTCTGTACGAAAAGTCTTCCATTTATTACGAATCAAACAAGTCCTTTGGGCCAACGAAGGTAACACCACAGGTGAAGAAAGCGTAAATTTATTCCTTAAATCTATTGGGCTTCGGGAATATTCAAGGTACATGAGTTTTAATCACCCATATAGTCACGAAAGGCCTCTTTTGGGGCATTTGAAGTTTTTTCCTTGGGTGATAGACGAGGGGTACTTTAAGGCGTGGAGACAGGGTCGAACGGGTTACCCGTTGGTTGATGCGGGTATGAGAGAGTTATGGGCCACGGGTTGGCTCCATGATAGGATACGGGTTGTGGTTGCAAGCTTTTTTGTGAAGGTTTTACAGTTACCATGGAGATGGGGAATGAAGTATTTTTGGGATACGCTTTTGGATGCGGATCTTGAAAGTGATGCTTTGGGTTGGCAGTATATTACGGGTACTTTACCCGATGGCCGTGAATTTGATCGTATCGATAATCCACAGGTATTCTATTATAGCAAAATATACTTTCATTTATTTGTATATTATAGAATAGAATATGCTACTTTCATTTTTTTTTTCTTTATTTGCACATAATAATGAAATTATATCAAGCCCTAAAAAATAAGATAATGTTCAATCGATTGGCTATTTATTTTTTTGACAGTTTGAGGGCTATAAATTTGACCCGAATGGCGAATACGTACGGAGATGGCTACCGGAACTTGCTAGACTACCGACGGAATGGATTCACCACCCCTGGGATGCACCGGAATACGTCCTTCAAGCTGCCGGAATCGAGCTCGGATCCAACTACCCTCTCCCGATTGTGAAAATGGATGAGGCAAAAGCCCGATTACAAGAAGCGCTTACTCAAATGTGGCAGCACGAAGCGTCTTCTCGAGCGATTCTGGAAAATGGGATAGAAGAAGGGCTTGGAGACTCGTCGGAAACTGCTCCGATTGCTTTCCCTCAAGATATGGAGATGGAGATGGATGAGAATACGCTGAGGACAAACCCTACGACCACCACGATCCGTCATTACGAAGACCAAATGGTTCCGAGTATGACGACGTCGTTGTTTAGGGGAGGGGAAGAGGAATCGTCTTCAGAAATTGGAAATTTTAGGGAAGATAGCAGGGCGGAAGTTCCGATTAATCAAGGTGGAGATGGAGATGGAGAGGGTCAAACGGTGAGAACGGGTAATATGCAGCCACCGATTGATATCACGAGGGCGTTGAGAATTACGGATGATTTGCCGGCGGATTCTTCCAACAGTTCGAGTTCAAGTTCGAGGGAAAGAGATGGAGGTGTTGTGCCTGTGTGGTCGCCTTCCACTTCTAGTTTTTCGGAGACGTTTGTTGGTGAAGATAGTTCTTATTTGCAGAGGCGTACGCAATCTCATCAATTAATCAACAACTGGAGGCGGCTTTCGCAAACCGGGTAAGTGTTAATGATCTGTAACAACCTATTTTTTGTTCAAAATCATATATTACCCATAAGCCATTTATTTTCAAGATTTTTTTAATTCAATGCAGGTGATCTGTGTTTGTGAATGCGAGAAGGTGGAAGCTTGAAGATGGTATGTGCTATATGAGATGATCGTGGGTCTTCATTTTCCGATCTGACCTGATCCAACGGTGGACGATCTGTGGGCAGAAATTCAGATTTTTTGAAACCGAAAGATAAAGCTTCTTTGCTTCTTTTAGTTGTGTTGTGCTTATGCTGTATAGTAACTGGTAGTGATGTAGTATATAAATTGCATGCATCTACGTGTATGTATGTTATATATACGTATATGTGATATGTATATGTATAAGTATGTGTTTATGTTCATTATCATCTTTGTAGCCAGGGTTGAATTTTAGCGCGTTGGCCAATCTTGTATTGCTGTGTGCTAAAAATGTAGGAATTGTGGCATTTCTTTCTTTTTTGCTTTTCCATTTGGCAATTTGGCGCCAGCACCGGTGGTCATTTGTCCATGCTGACTCGACTAGACTTTTAGGTCCGTGTCGACTTGGTCTTTATAACTCTACTTGTTTCGGATGGTGTTTAGGGTTTTTTTTTGGAATAACTTTTGGTTTTTAACTTTTCTAAAAAGTGAAAAAGATGTAAAGAAAAAAATATATGGATTTTTATTAGTTAAGAAAGAGTGACCATTGGTCTTTTAAAGCTAAATTTGTCAAATATTGAGAAGTATAGTTCAATACATATCGATGGAAGATAAACGGGCAACAAGCTGTGCTGCTAGCTATTTTTGGATGACAAAATTAATTCTTTTGAAAACAATATTTGTGGATTTAGAAAATATGATATTAGAGTGTATCGTTGGACTCTGTTGAGGAGCTCTACCACCTCTTGTGCGAGAAAACTAAATGTATCCAATACAAAAGGTACAAACACATGTTGATTTTCTGTACATACGTTCTCGTGCTTTGCCACTTTGCACGCAGCGGCTTTCAAAGCGACATGTCGTGCTGTGAAACCCCCACTCAAACCGACGAGAGGAGAGACCCCAGTAAGATCCACACACACGTGCTTTCCTCCTATTCATCCAAAAACCAAAATGTCAAACGATCTAAGTGTAGATCTTCCATCCTGCGGGTCCGTCAAAAAGTTCACTGATGCTTCTTTCTTCGCAGAAATACGAGCACGCCGACAAGCATCAAAGAGCACATATCTAACCACATCATGTCTGTACTTGAAACCAGGGAGCTATCTACAATGAACTGCATGTTCCCCAAAGGTATCCAAACATGCCTTGCGGCAAACTGGGCATATCCCGTCAATTGGGAATAGAGGAGTCATGAGTCGGTAACGAATGATAGTTTAGTATTCCACATGAGACATATGTTGGCCAAGACCATCAATAGAGATAGTAGCAGAAAATCATGGGCATGAGGTGCACAGAGACACTCAAAAACTAATTTCTGTATAACAATCATGTCGAAGTCGACTTCCATATCTTTGATGATTTTGCTAAAAATGGCACACGACGATGCTTTTTAGGATTTAGGGGGTGGTGTCCTTATTAGTGAAACTGCTACAGTCGAATCCCATAATCGTATCGCGAAGACGAGTCATAGCACATAGGTAATCGGAGTTCATACCACATATACCACTGTCATGTAAGATGTGGTCTTATAATGGCCAAGATTGAGTCATCGAGGCTACAAATGCATAAAAGGAAACCTCGTATGCCGAGTACAAACCCGAACTACCGAAACGAATAGGTTTGGAAGCCAGACGCCACTAAATGTCTCCAAAGAAGAGGCCTCTATATACCACCATATCCTCATTAACCTGCGCAATCCTTTGTCAAAGAACAAAGTTGCCTCTTCTATGTGCACCGACTTGCATGTCCTTAAACCAAAGAAAAGTTTTGCAATGCTCATATATGATCGAAGCAAAAGGGGCTCGCTCTGTGGGCCACGTAGTTGTGGAATAAAACCCATCAAATCAACAACATTAACCGCTCTCTTCATGGTCAGCCTGCTAATAAACCATGTATATCTGCTAATAAATCGACACGAAGCTTCCTACCATCACAAGAGGACCAAAAAATCTCCGTTTTCTTGATATTCAACTCAAGACCCAAGCCTGGACCATTCAACCGAATAATGTTCAACACTCTAGCTACCTCTTCTGAATCCCTAATGGCAGTCCCATCATCCAGATACCAAGAATGGAGAAGGAGCTTACAATTCTCTCTAATCTTGTGCACAAGAGGGTGCAAAACAAGGGCAAAAAGAAGAGGGCCCAAGGGGTCGCCTTGTTGCACCCCAGTGGCAGACCATATATGTTGGTCTCCAATATAAAGTCTCGTTGCTTGCCCGTACAAGAAATTCACCCACAAAGAAATAAAAGGGTACGTTCTCTTAACCTCGTGGAGCAATGTTGATCTATCCACCAGATTAAAGGCATTCGAGAAATCCATTATCAACATTACAAGAGACCCATCAGCATGGTGTTCACTTAACACCCTATTAGCATTGTAAAACAGCCTCAACACCCCCGGACTTACCAACCCCGAACTGAAAAACATTAAGGTACTTGGCCATTTCTTTACCCACACCTTTCATGGCAACCTTGGAAACCAGGCGTCTACATATAGTGCCTACTGCAATTGGACAGATCCCGTTGTCGGGTTTAAGCAAAGGCGTAAGCGGAGCGAATGCAACAAACTCTGCCAAAATGGTCGGACATCTTCCCGCTAACCATAAATTAACCACTGAAGTGATAGCACGTATGAGATCTGTGGCTATAACAGACCCTTCTCCACAAATGGCATCCAATAAGTGTTGAGCCCTCAAGCCATCTCTCCTGCAAGAAGTTCCTTTAGGGAAAGATTTGATGCAACCAAATACACAGTCAAAGTCTGCTACAAGGGGAGGTTCAGAAAGTATGGGGCTCGACATGGATGGGGGTGACCTGAAAGGGTGTTTGTCCTCCAAAGCTTTAATAGTATCACCATTATATGGCGCAACATCCGATGAGCATAATACTTTCACAGTTGCGGTAAAATGTCTATATGCAACCTTACGAAGACATTGCCTGATTTTGGTGTTACTTGATGTAGACTCCTTCTGAAGGATGCCTCCACCCTGACCCATGGCCCCAACATCGAGATTGTTCAACATATTTTGAACTAACTTCCTGATACCATCATCTTTCTCCCATGTATCCACGAACTTCAGGATGGAGCTTTGTTGTAAGGATTTTCTATTCTCAGACCTACATTCTTGTCTATTTTTGGGCCTAAACAACTGCAGTGTGCAGCGAAGAAGTAACAAACAAATTCATGCATCAATCGGGTCAGGTTGGGCAATCACCTTATAAAGAGCAATTTTCAAAGCTTGAGAGAAAGCAAGGCGGCAACTATGGGGGATACTCTTGACAGTAGTGATATGCGCTTTAAAAACACGATCAAGGAGCCCAACATCAAAACCAAACCTCCAAGAGCATTTGTCACCGGCTCTTTAGTAGACGGATTTAAAATACCGACAATGTACCAACTCGAGCCGTCTGCCCCTGTAACAAAAATCACACGACCATCCGGGTGATGACAATAACGGCTAAGAGCATGCAAAGTCATACACTTCCCACATATCTATTAACCAAGGCCTTCAAAGTTTCTTCCACTGTCATAAATAAACCAACATCACTAGATAGAGCTTCACGTAAAACACATTTACAATCTTCAGTAAGTAGATGATGTCTTTTGATGTGTGAAATCATACGGCTAATCCCCTTACTTCCCACTTCACCATTTGGGCAACAATGGAAGCTTCTGAACGAGCACAGACAAATATTACTCAAACTTGTAGAAGAAGAAGTCATACAAAAGAACAAGCCACGAGATGAAGCTTAAGCTATGAAGCAATATTTAACAAGGAAGGAAAGGAAATAGCACACCAACACGTTGTTGGTGTGCACAAGGAGCATCCAAACTAAGCAAACTACATTATCTTGAACAATAAGATTGCAACAAGATGAAAACTGTTTTGAGCATTTTATCAAACACCTGGTGGGCAACAAAAATAGCTTCTTGGAATTTCATCTTCTTCCATTGAAACATCAAACATCTTCTATTTCAATCCCCTTTTGAGTATTACAGTTGACTCGTTCTTGTTGTTTGATTAATTTTGTACTTACAACTTCAAATTAGTATCGATTTTGTTCTAATTTTCGAGCAAACATTCAAAAATCAATTGTTTAGTGATATGGTTAGAACTTTCTATTTTCCCTTTTCAATGAAAGCTTACATCCGTTAATCACAGGACACAAAGACTTTTTGGGGTTTCTCCTTCTCTGATTATAATCAATTTGGCCTCGATGATAGAGCGAGCCGATGAAAATGTTCTTCCATACAAAAAAAATAGACACCGACAGGTTGTACGACAGATACTACAACTCAGCCGATTCTCTACTGATTGTTTGAAGCTTTCCTTCATTGATTCTTAGTGATTCGTAGAGCTCCAATTGTCAAAGCTATTGATCATCATAAAACCTAGACATTTCTGTGAAATCGTGTAGTTTGAAACCAAAAGTGAGCAAGCCAGTAGGATTTTCAAGCTCAAAAGTCAAGAAATGCAACCCAAACATTTTTTAAAAACAACTTTTGGCTTTTTTGTCTCTTCAAAAGCTTAACTCAAAAAGAGCTTTCACAAAAAAAAAAAATTAAACTCAAAAAGTAATCTCAAACACCTTCATATTAGGCTTTTGTGATATATTTTTTTAGTTTTTAGTATATTTGTGATATATTTTTTTAGTTTTTAGTATAAATCTAAACAGGTAGGTTTGTATTAACCCCCATCAGTTTTTTGGCCGTTTTTTTCAAGTAGTTAATGTTTTTTGATAACATAAAGAAAAAAACATTCAACTTTTAAATTGATATCATTTATAAATTATACAGAATCTGGTATAAGAGTTTGTTATTACCACTTGTTCTAATTTCAAAAAAATTTAATGAACAAGTAATAGAAAATTCAGTGAGTTTGTGGCAAAAACTGAGCACTCAATTAAATTTTAATTTTCAATTTAAAAATCAAATTTCAACATAAAGAACTTGAACCCTACAATCAAAACCAAACTAACCTTACTAAAGTTCTAAATAAAACATATCTTGGAAAGAAAAAAAAAAAGACTGGTTGGTTCCCCATCTTTTCTTTTCGTGATGTCCTATTTATCCTTAAATCAAATAAATAAAACCCCAATTCCACCATTTATCCTCACAATATAGAAGAAGATGAAAATGTGAAGCTTTTACTAATACTAACTTGTGTCTTTGCAAAGAGAACCATTTGATAAAAGTCTAAGAATGTTTGAAATAACTACACATTAGAACCAGCTTTCAAGAAGCATATACCAGAATTGAGCAAAATCCATCAACTGCTGATAATTAGTTGAAGCAGAAACATCCCTCTAAATTAACCTGTAAAGGTTGAATATAAGAAATGCTACAATTAGTGACTCATTTGCTTAAAGAAATGCCACCTCTAAATCAACCAATAAAGTTTGTGTTTGAATGAGATTTTTAAATTGTGTTAACTTTTTTTAAGTATAGTCTCACCAAGAAAAGAAATTGAGCATGCAATGCTATAACGGGAAAAATTCTCAAAGTACAATGCCTTAATAAGAAAAAGCTCAAAAGTATAAAGCGTCAAAAATGAAATGTTGTAATTGGGTAAAATTTTCAAAGTGCAATACTAATAATAATTTCCACAAAATGTCTAGAAGTTACCTTTACGTTGTTTAGGAAGTGAAAAAAAACAGTTCTATAACAGGTTGACATGTCCTGACATGCTTGCAGTGCAAGATGGACACAAAGAACCAATTCCATCTTGTGTTCCAGAAACAGAATGAAGCTGCTGGAGATGGAATTCATTTCTACACCATGCACATACACTTGTAATCTGCTGATGATGATTCCTTCCACTTCCACTTCCAGATGTATTTGTATTTGGCATCATATTCATGGTGGTGTTTTTTCCAAGCCAAAATGAGGAGGAATCAAACTGTTGCTCCATTGGCATCTCCACATTCACATTCACATTGTATGGAATTGGATACGCCCCCCTTGAATCCCTCCTTTCAAGTGCATGTGCATGTGCATGTGGATTGTGTTGTGATCTACCTGCAGTTAAGAAACTGAATTCCAAAGGCTCAGGTCTGCTATTACTATTACTATTACTATTACTAGTAGTAGTAGTAGTAGTAGATCTCATTCTCAACCCACTCGCATCAAAACCTTCATTGTATTTGTACCTTTCATCCAATCTAAACTCTCCATCTCCTGCCTGTCATTCAATCAAACATCAACTTCTTGTTACAAAAATATGTCTACTTTTTAAGGTTAAAGCCAACATATCGCAATGTACTTTTATATATTTATTCTAGCTAAAATAGTAACCTAACTTTTTCTTTTGTTAAATCAATTTAGCCCATTTAGTCCGTTTCATTTGTAGCCAAGTTTTTTAATTTCAGATGGCATAAAAGTAATGTACCTTTTCCGACATTATATTGAAGGAGTGAAAAGAGCTAGGGTATGGTATCTGGGCATGTGAGGAAGAGTTGGATAAACCACTTCTCATTTGTTGATTTTGATTTTGATTTTGATTTTGATTTCCATCACCACTTTTCCACATACCACCACCAGCTACAACTTCTGTATGACTCTGGCTTCCAAAACCACTACTAGTAAACTTGTTTCCTGAATTTTTCAGATCCTCCCATGCTCTACCAGGGTAAACAGTGTTACCCTGATTTTGAAAGCTACTACTTTTATCATTACAACCAAGGTTAAATAAGCCTCTTCCCCCTTTCAGATCATCCACCATGCTATTGTTAACCATACTCAAATTAGTATGGACACCAAAAGTTTCATCCATCTTAGATGGAGCTACAAGATCTTTCTTCTGTTCAACTCTAAGGGAATCTGGATACAGCTCATGAGGGTTCCCAAAAGCAAGACTCAACTCATTGCTGCTAATATCTCTGTCTTCATCAAATTTCAGCCCACCTAACGATGTAGAATACATCTTATTCTCAAAAATATCATCTGATGTGTCAGCAATGGAGAAATGATCAAGTAATCCCCTTTCTGAACTCTCTTCCTGTTTACATTCCTCCATGGCTCTTTCATACAAACAATCTTGAAAACCGAATTCTTGATCATTTTCAGATGGAATAAGTGAGCAGAATTCAAGATTGCTTCCCAAAGATGTAACTGATTCGTTACCTTTTGCTTCATTGTTCCTAAAAGTATGGAAGTCGTCTAATTTATCTTCCTCTTGTTTATTTGAAGGAATTTGGGGTTCCTCCATAGTAGGAAAAGAAACATCATTTCCAAGATTTTTATTTTCACACTCTTCCTCCTGCCATGGTGACAGGGATGGACCAAAGCTGCCAAAATCATTTGTCCTGAAATCAAATTGCCCATCAAGTCCAGAACTTGATAAACCAGATGAGAGTTTATTTACATTATTGAATGTGTCAGGAGCAAGGTTATGAACAGATGGAGAGTCTTGTTTTTGGGGAGATATTAGGGTTTCACTATTGACAACTTTAACTGGATCACGGTTTGTTTTAGTAGAAAGCTTCTTGACTACAGTTGCACCATCTTTATCCAGCCCAAAACGACCAAGGAAAAAAACAGATGATGACTCACCAACAGATTTCTCCTTTTCAGTCGCCACGTCATCAGACTTAATGTCAATATCTATATCCATTTTTGCACCAAAACAGTTTTCTTCAATTGTTTTTACTCCAGGATTGGGCAATTCAATACTAGCAGTTGTACCAACATGATCTTTACTGCCCATCTGTTCAGGGATGGAATCTGATTGGTCAGGAATGGAATCAACAAATGTAACCCCGGTTTCAGAAACTGGATCTTGATTCATTGCATGATCAGAAACTGAATCTTGATTGATTGGCTGATCAGAAACTGAATCTTGATTGCCCACTTGCTCATTTGGAAATGAAGAAAGCATAAAGCTTTCCGAATTTACACCCAGATCAAGATTGGAATCTGACTTATTGTCAACAGGATTAACATGGGATTCGCCTAAAGTTTCAGTGTTTCTGGTGTTTTCATTAATGGACAGGGGGGTTTCGGTTTCATCGCCTAATAGTTCAGATTGAGAAACAGAAACAGAAACATCAGGATCTTGATCTTGATCTGTTTGAGAAACTTCATCATTCGTAATACTCTTTTCACCTGAGTTATGACAGGATTCTTCAATAGAGACACCTCTATCTACATTACTATTTCCATCCTGTTTGCTAGGAGACACAATGTTAAGGTCATGAGAAACAGGTTCAAGGTTGTCATTAGAATGTGCATCATGAGTCTCAACTACAACATTGACTCCAGAAGAAACTGATGCTAGAGACTTATTGTTAGTAGCATCAGTCATCAAATTAGGATCACAATCCAATTCTGTAGCTGGAGGAAGTGATGGTTCAACTTTCTCTATTTCATTTTCCACATTGCATTCAATATGCTCATTAACTGGTGTAACAAGTTCAGATCTTTTGGTGTCATGAGCTTCCACCTGGTGGACCAATAGATCATTTTCCCCCTCAAAAGTCATTGAGCATTTTAGGCACTTGAAAGGGTCTTCTACTTGTACCTCCATTTCATCAATGGTGACTTGCTCCTCACATTTTGTAGGTACAGGTGGCGCTGCTGCTGCTGGTGTTGGTGGTGATGAAGATGATGATGGATTGTCAACAGGGCCATCTGTTTTGATGTCTTGTTGTATAACAAGATCCATAGCCTGTCATAAACAACAACATAAACCAACTAGGAAAAGGGAGGAATCGAAAAGGGAAATTAGAACACTTGTAAATAACAACTTACATTCACAGAAGCTCCTTCCAAAGCAAAATTATCAGAAGTGTTAATGTTCACATGACTTTGTTTCTCCGAGTTTTCTTGTTTAACAACAGAGGTCAAGTATGCGGATATTTCTCTGCATGACTCAAACTGCCGACCACTAGGACTGAAATCAAGGTAAGTAAATTATGTGAGAACCATGAAGACATTACATTCACAAAGTTGATCTAAATGTAACAAGCTAATAATTGAGTTTTGTGTTCATATGATAGATGATGGTAACAAGAACATCTAGTAAATGTTATTTTAAGTGTATTAAAATAATTTTAAGTACATTTGTCTTGTCAAGAACTCAAAAAATCTAAAGAACGAGAAAACTGTGCATAGATCCTATGCCCTTTTCTCCCAAATGTCCCACCAACTTTCACTCCACAAAATAGGCTCTGTGAACGATCTCCCTAAAATGAAACCAATTTGATTATCTGCAACATATGTCTCCATTCTATATGTCTTAACCTAAACTTGATAACAGGTTTTCAAAGATTAATGGCATGACTCAACTTGATTAGGACTGTTCTCAATCTATCAAGTTAAAGTTGTGTACAGAGTGAGAATTTGATTAGGATGTTAGCAATGTTGCCATTGGAGTCTCAATTGTGAGTAATTAACCCAAATCATTCCATGGTTGCAACCCCCCACCCCCTGTTTCTCAGTTTTTATCACCTAATCAACTAGAAGAAGTGAAATGCAATGCATGCAGTAAGTTCTATCTCCCATTATTGGTTCATCAACCAAATGATTTCTTTCTGAAATTACAATATAGTTGTTTGAAATGATACATCTATATCCGCATTTACTTAATGGAACAGTTGGCAGCATTGATTAATTTTCAGTATACACAAGATCATCAACAAGTGTATCATATATAGCCTAAAAGCAAGGGAGAAACCAAAACCTTAAGTAGCGTCGACAGAATAACCAAACACGGCCTTCTTTCTTTTTGATGCAGAGACTCAGCTTCCAGCCCTTGGGCAAAACATCACCGAATTCCCTTGCATCCACAACCCTCCTCTTCCTCCTCCTACTCCCCCACTGTCCATTCATACCTCTCAGAAACCCTAACAAGTCATCCTCCGTCGACATTCCCATCGTCCTCCTCCTAATCTCCGGGCCGTAGGGATCGTCTAGTCCGGCAAGTGTAGCCATATTGACTGGTACACCACTATCATTTACTATTTCTCTATCCATCTCATTATCATATACAACGACTTTCTTAACCGTATTATGCCGAATTCTCTTGGCGGTTGGGGGACGAAGAAATACCACATTCTCATGCTTCCGCGGTCTCCCTCGTTTTCTCTTTATCCCTAGGTTTTCAGTACTCAAAAATTCAGGCACAACGGAATTGCTGTTGTTTTCGGCTTCCATCTGATCTACATCCTGGAAATTCGGGTCTGACTTGCAGAGTTGTTTCAACATACGGATGATTTGAGAGTTTTCCGCTTGCTCTGGGTCATTAATGTTGTTGGAAGGGTGCGCATGAGACGCCCGGAGGTGAGGTGTGCGTCGGTGAAGGGTGGTGGTCTTGGTGGTTGTGGAGGAGGACTCCGCCGAGGCAAGACGGAGACGAGAGTAGGTCTGTTTACGGCTACCGGCGGATTCATTGAAAACGGCGCGGTTAATTTTGGGGATAACGACCTCGTCGCAGCGGTTGGGATCGAATGAGGAGTCCGACGATATGGAGAGAGTGTAGAGTTCTGACTGGGAGAGGAGGCGGAGATCAACAACTGGGACCGAATCCAACCGGATAGCAGGACGCTCGGTGTCGTCAGCCTCGGCGGTGGCAACCGTGGCGGCCATATCGGAAAATGTGTTGTGTCAATGGGGGCCGAGTATATGTAACGTAGATGAACGACATTTTTACTACTTTAACCTTGTCCCTGTTATATCGAGAAAAACAATTGTTTTTTTTTTTTATTCCGAATACTATCAATAAAACCTTTAATTTTGTAATTTTCTAACAGTTTATTTCTCTTATAATTTTTTTTTTTAGATTTTACCCTTTTATTTCGACTTTCTGATTCAATATATTTTATTAAGTTTTTACTAAGAGTGTTCTGTATAAAGTGATCACATCTAACCGTATATGCAGTTTGAAAATTTCGTATTTATGGTTTTTATTTTCTTCAAACTACAATATGCATTACAATTTATTGTTTTTAATTATGAAATCACTTTTTAAACCGCACCGCATACATGCTTTGCAAAACATGTAGGCATCAAAAAATATGTCCGTCCAAAAGAATCACGAGTCAAGTACTTTGTACATGGTTTCATTTGGACAAAAGTGTCTGCCATAAACCTTGGTATGACATCAATTAAATATTGAAGGTACCTCACTAAGATTAATGCATCTTCTCAAAACTTGATTAGAGCAATGTTTCAAAATGCATGATTCGTCTCACATAGTCACATATATTTTCTCGTTTCTTTCATCATCTTATCATTTGAGTTTGTATGAATTTAGGAGGGAAGTCTCTAGTCACCAAGTAGTTGACTAAATCAAGATGTTATGTAATTATTGTTTGAGTAGCAAAGTGGTTTTCATCTGAAAAGGAGACTTTTAAGGGTATCGATTCTTCATTATTGATATTTCTGCTCAAATGGTTTGCCACTAAGTTTTGCTTGTCACTTTTGTCTCTAATTTCAATGTTAAATTCTCGGAGCAAGAGTACCATCAAATCAATCTCAGCTTTGTATCATTCTTGGTTATTAGTTACTTCAAAGCTACATATCAAAAAAAATACCACGATTTTAGCACCTAACAAATATTGCTTAAACTTTTCCATGGCAAACACAATGGCTACAAGTTCTTCCTCTATGGTAGGATAATTATGTTGGGCATGGTCTATGGTCTTTAGTGCATAATAAATGAGTTGTGGGACCCGATCCTTTATTTGTCCCAACACCTTTCCCACCGCATGATTGCTAGCATCACATATTATTTCAAACTGTAAGTCCCAATTTGATGGTTAAATTATTGGTGTGGTGACCAACAGTTCCTTCAATACCTCAAAGGCCTTCTTGCATGCTTTATTAAGTAATTTTCGACATTTTTTTTGTAGTAGTTATACATCGATCGAGTGATCTTTGAGAAATATTTGATAAAGCAGTTATATGAATTTGCATGGCCAAGAAAAAAAACCACAGCTGGCATATAGTATTAGGATAAGACAGATTTAATGACATCAATTTTGAACTTGTCTTTCTTAAAACCTTTTGAAGAGATAGTGTGATCGACTTTGTTGCACCATAAAATGATATTTTTCATAATTTAAACGATACTTATCTTAATACACCTCTCTAAATTTTTGTCAAAATTTTCAAACACTCTTGAAAACAATTGTGATACAGAGTGAAATTATCAATAAAAACCTCAATTATCTCTTCAATATAATTTGAGAAAATGATTGATTACCATAGGTTCAAAAATCAAACTTTTAATTAGAGTTTGAAAATAATGATTTTTGAAACGGAATATGGTTTCTAAAATCTGAACTTCTGACACAAAGCATCTTCGAAAAAATGTCATATTTGATTTTTCAAACTAAGTAAGATTTCCAAAAATGTAATTTATCATATAAATACTTTGAAAATTACATTTTAAAAAAATTCGGACACAGTTATGGTTTTCAAAGCACTTTTTAGTGAAAGATAGTTCAAAATTTTCGAACATTATAAAATTTATTGAAGACACTTCCTTTTAGTATATGTAAGGGCGTATATTGATATCAATCCACATTCTATATTTCTTAACTAAGTGAGTGGTTATCAAAACTTTCTGGGATGTACTGGGATATACATATATTGTTTTCAAATATCTCGACTGAGAAATTATTAAAATAACAAAAGTCATCCGGTCAATAAGAGATCTCGAAAGTAATTTAAGGGAATGATCTGCAACATGTGGTATGAAATGTTGAAGTCACAAGTAGTGGAAATTCGGGCTTAATGACAAAGTTATGCAGACTCATATCCATTCTTACCTATAATTTGGCCAGCAGGGAATATGACATAAATGCCAAGAAACAACGGGTAACTACTAACTTGATCTAAGCAAATGGTAAAGAAGAAAACAATAGTATCAAAGATTTAGGAATTTGTATCTACTTCTTTATTCGATGTCGACTCCTTTGTAGATTAATCTTTTACATGAGATGTCATTGGTCTAAAAGTAGCTATCTATTCCTAGATTTTTAAAAAAAAGTTTGCAAGGGAAATCGTTGTAAGTTGTACACATTCATTATGACTTGTTAAATTAAACAGTGATTTATATAAAAGAAATAAAACAATTATATAATCATTGAAGAAGTTGCTAATAAATAACACCAATTAAAGGAAATAAAATCGTTATATAATAACACCAATTAAAGGAAATAAAACAATTATATAATCATGATTTATATAGTGTCCTATTTTTATTTATTGAAGGTTTCCACTACATAATAAAGTTTCCTATATAATTTATATCGTCGACCAAGAAGCCTAGTAATGATTTTCTATGCTTTTTTCGATAATCATTCATGTGAAACATTATCAAACAAGAAATAGAAAAGGTTTTTTATTTTGGGTTTTTTTATTTTTACACTCCACACTATTTATAATAAATACTCACTCCACTCTATAAATTTAGATTAGATTATGAAAACTACAAAACTAGTCTCCAATAAAGTGTCTATTAGCCAAATTTCTCCTCATGCCTCCACATTTCACAATTTCCATGCTTTTTCATTTTATTAAAGTTATTCATTTTTTGTTTCATATTTTCCCAAAAACTTATTTGTCACGGAAAAGACTGAGAATTAGAGAAAATAAAAAATCTTTCATTTTCTATTCTTTCAAATTAATAGTTATATATATATATATATATATATATATATATATATATATATATAAGAGAGAGAATTAGAGAAAATAAAAATAAAAAATATGTTTCTTTCGGAAAACAATGTAATAAAATCTTTAATTAATAAAAATGATTAGTTGAGAGTAATGATGTCTAACCTAAAATATATTAGAGTAGCGTGGAGTGTCCATAATAACAAAACATTATTTTTTAAAAGTCTCAGATCCCATGAATGAATGGTCACATCTTTCTTAGGTTTGGATGAGACAATCTCTTGCCAAAATGCAATTCCAGCGCATTGATTGCGAAGAATGTCAGCAAATAGATCCAGATTGTATAGGATTTTTTAACTTCTGTTATCAGGAGTAATTCAGATCAAGATCGTGTAGGATTTTTAACTCATGTTATCAGAAGTAAGACTAGAGGAAGTAGAGTACGATAAAGATGATATGACGCTTATGTGGCATATGGAACACCGCCCTCTGTATGCGGTTAGGGGAGTGCGGCCATTCTTAGGGAGCGCTCCTCTCACTCACTTATCCTCCCTCTCTCTATCTCTTTATTCTTTCTCTTTCCTCTCTCCATGGTATACCACTCATTGAGTGTGGTAAATTGAAGCTCATTCCCTCCAGCCTAATTCGTTCGTATAAAAACATCATGTCATAGACATACATGTTTTATTCAATGACATCGTTTCTCTTATTTTGATAATGTCTTGAGCATCTGGATTTTTTATCATATATCAAAAAAAATTATATTAATAAAATACAAAACATACATTATTATTAATTAAAGGTACATCTTTTCGAACACGTCAATCATTTTCAAACAAATTCTTTTTCAAACGTGTTTTTGTTCATGATTTTCTAACTTGTTCAAAATTTTCATACAAGTTCATGATTTTCATAGATTAATGTTCATGATTTTCTAACGTATTCAAATTTTCCGTTAAATTTTTTTTTTTTCATACTACCAAAAACAAAGATTAACGGACATCTGATTATGTAAAACAACAAAATGGTAAAACTACACATGGTTTTTTCTATATTATTTTAATGTTCTTATGTATTGTGCTTTGATATCAAAACCAAGTAACCAGAAAGAAGTATTTTTTTAACAGTCAAAAAAATATAATAGTTTAATCACTACAGTAAATAGTTACATGTTACTATGCTAAGTCTATAATATAGTAAAAGCACAAACATTAATCTCTATTTCGCCTGTTCATAAACCATATAAATGGATCATACTTTTTTGAATTTAACAGCAATGTCAAGTTGTATTCAAGGGATGATTCACAAGCTACTCAATTTCCAGTACTTGTTTGTCTGCAAACTCACAGAACTTCTCATTAAACAAAACCTGTGGATCTTTATGAATTAAGACACCATCTTCACCATAAGCATCCTTCAAGAACACAACCCAATTCATCTCAGTTCCTGCCAAATAAAAGCTCCTTGGTTGCTTCAACAGCATTGCATAAGTATGCTTAGTAAGACTTAATTCCTCTTTAAACTCAACAATGTGGTGAATCGATGCTCTTTTCTCCAATGTCAAGCTCAAGAACTCATGAAGAACACCTACCCGATACTTCTCAGCCTCCAAAGTCCAAAGATCCAAACTCGCCCCATCTGAATAAGGCGAAACCAGAGGAAGAGTGTTTAACAGATTCAATTTCCGTTCATCTTGTTCGTCTAAATTCAGTGATTTTCCGTGTTTTATCTTGAATTGAAAAGCTTTCTTGGCTCGATCTTCATCAACCATGAACTGTTGTTCTAATGTGCTGATGGCAAGTTTTGGATCCCAGTTCACAAGCTCGAGAATTCTCTTTCCACCTTCTTCAACAATGGTGTTGAAATACTCTGGATATTTTCTCACACGATCTCTGAAATCTTCTGGAATCCCGAATAATGATCTACAGTGATAGATCTTGCTTAGAGGAATTCGTTTATTTGCAGACATCATTAGCAGCTTTCTAACAGTATTGATCCGATCATGTTCCATTTCATCCATAATCATCTTCTCTT